AGTGAAGCTGATCATGTCCAAGACCCTGATCCTGTTCAGAGAAAGGAAGATTGCTGCCAGGAATGCTGATGAGAGCAGAGGAACTAAGCAGCATATACTGCGATACCGCATGCTTGTTGGAGAGACATTTGTTCAATTCAGAGTCACCAGCGGATGAAAAGCAGACCCGGGTTGGTAAGATCGTGCACGCACCTCATTTCAGTGTTGGCGCCTTGAGACTGAGTCCACGCCTATAGTTAGTTAGTTAGGGTCTCTGTTTGTGTCAGGCCACAAGTGTTGTTACTGATTATTGGAAGGACTCCACAACTTAAAGTGACATTTCACATTGGAGAGCTGATAAAATCCCACAAACTCAAGCCAGCCTGGCGTTTTGATCAGAAGGAATACTCAGGCACGTGCTACAGGACCAGTTATGCGAGGGGGAATGCTGTAGATTTGTGTAAGATTGTAAGCTGTTGTGCTGCACCGCAGGCTAGCCCATACCATACACCCATACACTGATTCTTGTTCTTTTAGGGTAATAACAGGTAAGGTGTGGCAGCTTATTTGTGCCGCCAGTAGGTAAATTACTACACTTTCTACCTTCATCCATCAGAAGGCGCCGTGCTGTGCAACACAAGGGTCTCAGCCTTTGGGCTGGGTGTATGTAAATTTATTGTATGTTTCCAGCATTTGTGGTTGTGTTTATTTGCCACATCCTAAGTAAAATTCTGTTGTGGCAAAAGCTGGTGTTGGGGTTGCTTTCCTCGTTCGGGACTTCACTGTATCCTGGGGAGCCCACCCCGTTACACGGCTTACACTACACCTCTGTTCTCTGTATTAGAAGAGGCATTAAGTTACTTCACTGATGTCCCATGTCTCTTTTCTCCCCTTTGTTCCCTGAAATAGAAGAGGTGTTATACTCACTTCTCTGGTGTCCCATGTCTTCTGCCTTCCCTCCGTTCCCTGTAATAGAAGAAGAATTATATTTGCCTGTCTGGTGTCCCATGTCTCCTACCTCCCCTCTGTTCCCTGTAAGAGAAGAAGTACTACACTCTCCTCTCCAGCGTACCATGTAGTATAATCCTCTCCCTGGTGTTTCCTACCTTCCCTTCATTCTCTGTAATTGAAGAGATAATACACTCACCTGTCCGGTGTCCTACCTCCCCTCCATTCCCTGTAATGTAAGAAATAGTACATTTACCACTCCAATGGTCTATGTTTCTTACCTCCACTCTGTTTTGTAATAGAAGCAATAGTATGCTCACCTCTCCAGTGGCTCATGTGTCTAATGTCCACAGTCCCCAGCGTCCTGTCCAATGTGGTACTGCAGCCTCCGTCAGTCTCTTCAATATTTAACACATCCAGTAGTGTCAGACCTCTGTTTCCCCCACTGCTTTGTGGTTTCATCCTCTGACCTCTACATTGTTTCAGGAGTCAGCAGTGCTGTAGGGGTTGAAGTATGGAACCACAGCGTGTGAATGAGCTGGAATGGAGGGAAGGTAGGAGACATGGGCCACTGGAGAAGTTAGAATATTTTCTTTTATATTGCAGGTAACTTGCAGTTATTGGATAAAAAAAACACTGGTAATAGCGTTTTTTAGTAGCGTTTAGGAGTGTCAGTGTTTTATTAGTGTTTTTACAGTACACGAAGAAAGCTATTAGGAGCACTTTAGTAGCGTTTAGTGTGTTTTTTGTGCTGGATAAACTCTACAGAAACTTTTAGTTTTTTCTGCTGCTAGATGCTGAAGCTCAAAAAATACTAATAGCCTAATGTAGTGTTCATGGACACATAAGATAACACCATTTAGCTTCTAGGAGCAGAAAAAAATGCTATTACCAGCTTCTAGGAGCTTAAAGAAATGCTGTGCATGGAGCCTTAAACTGTTCAAACACTGTGTAAATGCTTGTTCTAGGTCAAGTATTTAATAAGCTGAGAAGGAAGGATGAGAATGTGCGCTATAATAGTCAACTATACTAATATAATATACAGTACTTCTATATTTCTATCCTGTACAATCATTTGACAAGAAGCTGCTGTCCCACGCTGATGGTTATAAAGAATGCTTCCAGAAACTGGCTGCAAATGTATAAAGCAAAATCTAACTGAGCAAACTTTTTAGCTGTAGCGCAGTTTTAGTGTTTCCAGGGCAGCATTTACATGAATTATTTTTCTGTCCAGTTGGTCAGTATCAATCTGTAGTTTTCATTTAAACAGAAGCTTTCAGGGAAGAACTACTGGTGATACCATTGCTTTGGGCTCCAACTTTATAATCTTGATCACAGTTTTACTACCTGTACAATCAATAACCTCGCACAAGCATGCTGCCAGGGAAAATGACCTGCATACATTTCCCAGGTTAGAACGTAGGTAGTGACACAAGGGGTAAGACTACAGTTCTGGGACTTTAGAAAACAAGGCAGATATAGCAGCTCACATATTTCTACCCAGGTTTCTCGCAAATTGGACAGAAACAAATCAGTACCATCCGTGATACTTTTTTTTTTGCATGAATATATAATTTTTCAGGAAAAGCTTTCAGTGTACAGTGCTCAGACCTTAAAGAAAGGGGGTACTCCCCAAAAGCTTGTTCTGAAAAATTGTATTTTAGTGCAAATAAAAAGAAGTATCACGGATGGTACTGAATTGTTTCTGTCACAAGTGCATTAATACAGCTACAACCACCTCTCTCAAACTGGAGAAATATTACATTGACACAACTGTGCTAATTGAAAGGAAGCTGTGACAGACGCAAGATCGCTGCCACCAATATGTGACGATCCCACGATCGCTTTCACCAATATGTGACAAACGCGGCGGCGTCAGACCCCTGACCTTCTCAACAAACTCGTGACCGAAGGACTGGCCAATCTGAAACCTCGATGTCACATGCGTAACAATGCCACACCCAGCTGTACCCTGCACAACGATTTTCCAGCTAATTGGACCACAATCTATGTACTTGCAGCCTGAGATTGTTACTGGGTCAGGTTAATTACGCAATTAACCCTTCACACTGCCACCACTTCCTTTTTGTACAGAGAAAGAGGAAACTCGGCAGCGCTCTTTTTAGAGGCAGGAATTCGTAAATTGCAATAAAGAGCTATAGAAACAGTTCAACACTTTCAGAAGGAAAGATTTATCACTAAAAGGTCAAACGGTGCAATAAAAATATTTACAAGAGATGTAACCAATATATCTATAAATATACAGAGAACAACAGCACAGCAAAGAGGTAACAGAAAGGAGGTTAAAGGGTTAAAGTACTTGCCAATCAGCCTTGGGTTTGCCGATCAAGTTTCCGAGAAAAAGGGTACAGGTCTCCCTGGGTGGTTCTGATGTTAATCGGGAGACTTCTTCAACTTCACTTTCTTAGGCCTGACAACCCAATTTGTAGTTCCCTAGCAGGGAGTGTCTCTGAAGTCAAGGACCAATACCCCATTTAGGGTGGGAAGGTCTGGGTGTAGACCTAAACTAGAGCCAAAATCTCTTATAGTTCATACTTTGGCTCATAACTTTCCATATGCATAAGTGACACTCCACCTGCAGGTAGATTATTATGCAGACACTTCTGAGGATTGATTAGATATGAATTATGAAATTCTACACTGCATGGTTCACGAGATCTACTTTTCTGCTTTCCTATGTATTCCACGGAGAGTGACCTATCAAAATGTTCGTCTCCTTTTGACCAATCTGACGATATGCCTGGTTTTTATGTAAGTCTCTCATATTGCAAGATAGGAGACATGGCGGAAAAATTGCACAGGTTCTTTGGACAGTGAGGCACTTCGTGGCTCCCTGCTGGGCTCTGGCCTGTGACACTTTTAACACACATACACACTGGCCAAATGTCGCTGTGACTCTCAGAGAGGGAGGGGGTGGGAGAATTCTTAACAAAATGGAGGGTTGGAACAAAATGGTTGAATCGCGTCCATCTAAATGTGTACGCTTGCTACAGATGCCATAACTGAACTTCTGAAAAGACTAGTTGTCAGGTTGTCTCTGGTTTCACTTCCTGTAGTCATAGACCCATAACAACCATGTAGCCAATCAAATCAGTTTCATTTGACTCCATTCATGTTCTTGGTCTTCCTTTAAAGGTATGTTCATCCAAAACAGCTGTTTCAATTATGGATCAATACAATTGGCCTAAACATCATATATCATAAAGTGACTTCATCAATGATATCCTCCTGCCTGAGTCCCCAACTCTATCCTTCCTTAGGCTGGGTATACACTTATCAAAATCCAGCTGGTTCAGTAGGAAGCAGCCAAATTTTGGTATATCTGGAACCCTGTCTAATGACCAGCTTCTGTGGAACAGTCATGCTGAAAAACCAGCATTCAATCAGCGCTTGCAGGCAATGGCTGTAGTGCTGATCAGTGTATCCTGATGGGGAGTCCCCACTGCCTGAATACAATGGCACAGTGGGGGAGATCCCTACATTCACATTGTGGGGATCTGTGAGAGTTTTTCTTTTTTTTTTCATTTAGCCCGTTGGTTGAACAACAAAAAACTCAATGTGTGTACCCAGTTTTAGACTTTTCAGCTGCATTCTCCAAGATTTTTCTTGTTCTGTTTGTTTCAATCGGTGCAGGCAGACAGCATTTTCAGACAAGCAATAGCATGTTAATAATTGGTGTTTTTTATGTCTGTTTGCCCTATGTAGATAAAATCTTTGCTTTACAAACATTGGGGTTGATTTGCTAAAGGCAAATAGACTGTGCACTTTGAAACGTGCAGTTACTCCAAACCTTCACTGTGCAAAGGATACCCAATCCCATGCAAGGAATATTTTTTTTTAAAATAGCATTATTGCTTGACTGAACATTTAGATTTTTGCATAAGACTGACTGTGACCAATTTTCTTAAAATCTGTTGAAGTTTGTCCTCGTGCATTAAGTGAGTGCACAATTCTGCTCCGTAGGCTTCCCAAAAATGCTTAGATTATTTTCTGCCTTGTAAGCAATTATTTTATTACCAGCACTGAAGGTGACGCCTGTTTTTGTATTTACACAGGCTCATCCTCTTCCTCTTCCATCTACTTATCAGCGTGCCCCCCTGTCCAGGCTGAGAATTCTCTGCCTTTGTGTCCTCTGTATATCACTCACAATGGGTCTCCCCATGCTACAGCTGTCCCTTGTCGTACTGCTTTTACCAGGTAAGTGCTGCACTGGGGAGAGTTGGGGATCAATTAGAGCAGATTGTGGGAAGCATTATGTGCTAAGGTTATCTGAAATGTCCATTTTGTGAAAAAAATGCTCTGCTAAATGACCTTCCAGCTTTATATATTTCATGAGTAACCTTTCACAAGATCTTTGCGCTTGGTTCCAAGCTCTGCCCATGGATCGTGACCAAATTAAAGGGTTTTGCTCTCTTGAATCTTTACTTTTTTACATTACACTGAATACAGCAAAAGGAATGAGACCCTACAACAGGGAAAGTAGAGAGGACACTCCTGTGGAAACATTTGAGAAATAATGGGCAATTCAGACCACCGTTAACCACTAAACAAAAATAGTGTTTTATTTCCATTTGTACCAAGAGCATTATATTTATTGCCTTAGAATGAGCAGATCTAAAGTAAACACTTCATTTGGAGGACCGTTCATACGGCAGCAAAACACCAAACAGCATGTTACCTATCAAAGCTGTGGGTGCTTGTTATGGTGTTGTATATTTGATCCAGAAAGGATCAATCTCTAACACTCCAAAGTTCACTTTGTATTGTGAAAATTGAATTTCACTTGGTAAATTACTTTGACACCGTAACAGCCAGGGAATTAGGGTTTTCAAAAAGAGATCAGCCATGACAGACCCCACATTTTTCTCTCCTTATGTTAAAGCATGAATCTGTACCTGTGTAAAAATACATGTGTATTGTGTTGCATTACATTACATGTTACCAGCCATTTCAGGCTAAAGAAGATGTTCAGCCTAGCATTGGCTCTAAGTTGTGTTCTGTATGTTGGAGGTGATATTCAGTAGTAAGAGTGAGAATTTCCATCAAAAATATCTTCCATTCCTGAAACATATTTATCCATGCTGTTAAATGTCTGTTTTTAATAAAATTAAAAAAAAATGTTTTAGGCAGATTAAAAGTTTAAGACAAAGACATGTGAAATGCTGTCTCTAGCATTTTGCCCATAGATAACAAAATGGAACTCCAGTCACACAATAAATTTAGATAGAGTGCGGGAGGCATGGACCCTCTCAGTTTTTTTTTTTTGCTGTTTTTATCCCTATACAATACCAAAAAGAAAAAAGGCTGGGGTGGGATTTTAAGACTATTATTTAGTTGATCCCATTTAGATGTCACAGAATCTTCCTAGCCATAAATTATTAAATGCAAATAAAATTAATGAAAATGAAAAAAGCTAGAGAAAATTACTTTGTGTAGAATTTGTGAACTGTGTCATGGTAGTTTTTCAGAAGTTGTGTCTATAGCAGGAGCGGACTGATAACTCATGGGGCCGGGGGGGATCATTAGGGGATCATGGGGCCCCTGTGTCCATGCCCAAACTAAAAACAGCCTATGAAAAAGGTACCAGGGGCATCTCATGGGGCCCCCTACTGACCCCGGGCCCTCGGGCAGTGCCTAAGTTTCCAAATGGTCAGTCCGCCCCAGGTCTATAGTAACTTTATATTCACAGTGGGTGTCAAGAAACCAAAATAAAGACCAAGTGCCCATTCAGACCTGTCTGTTCTTGTGCGTTTCTTCAAGGCAACAAATTCATTTTTAATGAGTTGCCAATGCACAAGAGCAAATGGATATGTAGCTCTTTTTTCCAACACAGTACCCCACAATGCATGGTAGTGTGTTACTACGCATTGTTGTGTGCTACAATGCATGGGTGTTGCAGTTTTCCTTACTGAACAGCAACGCAACACACAAACGCCCATAATTCACATTAATGAGCTTTGTGGCTACTACACCACATTGCATAGGTATATTTAGATCCTATTTACATTTTTTTTATTTTTAACCAGGATTACACATTTTTATAGTTGTATTCTGTTGGAAAATTGTATGAATGCTGTATTTTAGTAAAGAGTGGGCAACTATTTTACTTAGGTCCTTCTGGTTACCTGAAGTCAGGTATTTGTCACCCTCACAGATTTTGGATTGTTCTGTGATATCTTTTATCTGAAATAATGGACTTTAGCCTACATGGGTGAATACATCTCTGTGCTACTGGGAGATGTAACTTTTTCTTTCCAGTTATCTTATAGCACTGCATTGATTTCTGTATGCCACACATGAGATGATGGCCAGTAACTTGTTCTATCTCTCTGAGAGATATTTCATTGCCAGTGATGCCCTTGGCTCAGGTCATGGAGTAAAGTAATCCATACGTCCCTAAATTCTGATATAAGAAAGGATGATGCCTTATAGCACAAAATATGCAGGCAAAGGAGCCCATAGTCCTGCTTTGGACATGAGGACACCAAGGGACAGTCCAGTGCTAGGGAGTGGAGTATCGGGTCAGTAAAACTGCTTTTTCGGCCCCCGAGACCTAAACCAGCATTTAAATCTTACAGGGTGGGGGCAGCCCCACTGCAAGGTTTCCCCAGAGATGGGCTTTAAACTCACAAGTGATTTTTTTTTCACCACATTTTCCTTTATACTGGCTGTTTTAAATATAAATAGCAATAACATAGTGTAATATAAAAAGGTTTGGAAGTTTAAAGCATATCTAAACCCAAATGCAAAAGTGTAACATTTTGCAGTTTACCAACAGTTTTTTTTTAGGCATTTTTCCTTTATTTTCACCTAGTAATTCGGCCAGTAAAGTTGACCATACATTGCATGAATGAAGGAACTGGGCAGAAAATTGTCAGCTGTTTGAGTATTTTGACAGCTGCTGGCGCTGTCTGTCAAAATACAGTAGGAACAGCAGGAGATTTGTCCGTCTATACTAGTATGGATGGAGAAACCTGTTAGTTCCTTTAACAGACAAAGTGGTCAAACAGAGGTGACAATTAGAAGGTTGAGACAAACCATTTAACACTGACAAGGGTGCTTACAATAGTCAGCTTTTATTTATTTAGTTAAAACTTATCTAGTTCAAACCTTTATCCTAAGAGTAAAAAAAAGTTTCTGAAATTGCTTAAAACATGTTATCTGGAGTTAGGCTTTAAAGTGATATTAAAGGCAGGAGTTTAAAAAAAAAAAATAACGAACATGTTATATTTACCTGCTCTGTGTAGTGGTTTTGCACAGAGCAGCCCCAATCCTCCTCTTCTCATGTCCCCCCCCCACCAACGCTCCTGGCCCCTTCCTTCTGCAGAGTGCCCCCAGAGCAAGCAGCTTGCTATGGGGAGCACCCAAGAAAACTTGCTCCCAAACTGCTGCTCTACGTATCCTCTCACGCACAGAACTGTGGCTTGGCCCTGCCCTCTCTCTCTCCTCATTGGCTCCCACTGCTGTCTCAGCTAATGAGGAGGGAGAGTCCATGGAGAGCCGAGGCACTCATGCACATCACTGGATAGCAATGGGGCTCAGGTAAGTATTGGAGTGACTGCTGCACACAGAAGATATTTACCTGTAGCCTTTACAACCACTTTAATTTGTTAGTCGGTTATGCAAAGTCTATCTAAATCTCAGTCTACCCTGCCCAGATAATAATGCTGTCCTGGGGGTATTTCAATTGTTCCTTCATAGATGGATGAGCTACCCTAGGACAGGAAGTGTAGTAATGACTGGATCACCTGGTGAAAGTAAAGGAAAAAAGCCTAAAATACAAATACTAATGCACCCACCACATCTGAGGATTGGTAAACTTCAATATATTACATTTTTGTTTTGGGTTTAATACACTTTAATCATGCAATGAGGGACAACTGAGCAGGAATAGAGGACAGAAGGATTTAGTTCCACATTTCTTGTGTTTGCTTACAAGGCAGCTTCTGGTTGGGGCCTGACCTGAGTAAATTTCATTTAGAAAAGATATTGTATCTTTATAAGCAAGATTAACGAGTTCCACGCCAACCAATAGCAGAAATACTGCTACAGGGCGCCACGGGTGTACAAAATCATGTGTATATATATATGTGATTTTGCAGTCCTGGGTAGAGGGCGCACGTGCCCCCATTCACGGCCTTGGCTGTCAATCACTGGGTCCCGGCCGGTAATTACCCAGTGATTGCCGAATATCTCCGACGGGGAAGAGACCTGTATGTAAACAATACAGATCTCTCCCCTGTCAGCTCCTGCACACTGATTTACTGGATATGTTTTATAGTCAAAAATATTGTTTTTTTTTTTCTCAAAATTGTCAATCTTTTTTTATTTATAGCGTTAAAAATAAAAAAACTCACAGGCGATCAAATACCACCAAAAGAAAGCTCTATTTGTGGGAAAAAAAGGACATAAATTTAATTTGGGTGCAACATTGCATGACCGTGCTGTTGTCAGTTAAAGTACTGTATCGCAAAAAATGGCCTGGTCAGGAAGGGGGGTAAATCGTCTGGAGGACAAGTGGTTAATAGGTAGCTGAACATGAAAGCAGTCATTTGAGGCTCATACAATCTATTAAAAAATGGCACAACTTATAATAATCTGATTTATAACTGAAGAATGTCTACCAAATACTTTTTATTTTTTTAGATGGAGTGGTAAGTTCTTAAAATTTCTGCTTTTACTTTTATTGATGTCTGTGCTTTTCTGTTCCAGTGACAACTGCACTCCACATTTCTTGTAGTCACAGGGACAGGAAATTAGGAAAAATACTGGGGACACAGACAAAAAAAAAATCTGCCTGAAAATGTGACTGTTTTCTACTGGAGGCAAAATAAAATAAAATATTGGCTAGCATTAGCCTACAAAAGTAACAGGCCCTCTTTTAGAAGAGAAGCTCCCTTACTTTACTCATGTTTGTCTTTCTTCTGCTTGTACAGCCCTAATATCGGCATATCGTGTGACCGGGTTAGTGGGAGAAAATGTGCTGTTGCCCTGCCCAATCTTAGATAGCAAAAACCCAAGCAACATATGCTGGGGGCGTGGCAGCTGCTCGGCCCTCGGCTGTAACAACCCCATCACCAAAGCAGAGGCCAACAAAGTGACCTGGAGTAAATCAGAAAGATACCAGGTGAAAGGAAACCTGGGAGAAGGTGATGCATCAATGGAAGTCAATGATGTCACCCTGGATGACAGCGGCACCTACTGTTGCCGAGTGAAGACCGCAGAGTTGGACCTGAAGAGGGAGATACATGTGGAGATACAACATCGTAAGTAACTTTAATTAAAGTTGATTTTAAACAGCCGCCATTATTACTGCATTATAAAATTGGGAGGAGTCTATTTCTTGACTACGTATAGGACCCCCATGAATAATTTAGTGTTCTCCATTTGATGTGCACTCCACTTATAACTGTGCACTCCGTTTATAAAGGCCAGAAGTGTCACTGGAGGACAGGAGGCCTAATAGTACAACGTACAGTATGTGAATTTATCAGCACTTTCAGTACAAAAAAAAAGCTCTAAGACCTGCATGAAAACTGTGTAATGTGTAAACATGGGTTACATCATTTCTTGTTGTGTTGCCAATGCATCTCAGTGCACAGGAATCTGCGTGTGACCATTTTTTGGGAATGTAAAACACAGCAATGCACAGTTATTATTATTACACAGGATTTATATAGCGCCAACAGTTTTCTCACCCCTTTACAATATACGTTGTACATTACTGTGCGTGGCGACACTTCAAATGGCGGTGATGCCCATGTTTCCCAAGTGCAAACGTTTTGATCCCAGTCTTGGTATATATTTGGTGTTTATGGATCTAACAATCTTTTTTTCTCCTGCTTCTCCCCTAAAAACATTCAGCTCTCACAATGCTTAAAGATCTGCTAGTTTTGGTCATCTAGTAATTACAGTCAGGTCCATAAATATTGGGACATCGACACAATTCTAACATTTTTGGCTCTATACACCACAATGGATTTGAAATGAAATGAACAAGATGTGCTTTAACTGCAGACTGTCAGCTTTAATTTGAGTGTATTTACATCCAAATCAGGTGAATGGTGTAGGAATTACAACAGTTTGCATATGTGCCTCCCAATTGTTAAGGGACCAAAAGTAATGGGACAGAATAATAATCATAAATGAAACTTTCACTTTTTAATACTTGGTTGCAAATCCTTTGCAGTCAATTACAGCCTGAAGTCTGGAACGCATAGACATCACCAGACTCTGGGTTTCATCCCTGGTGATGCTCTGCCAGGCCTCTACTGCAACTGTCTTCAGTTCCTGCTTGTTCTTGGGGCATTTTCCCTTCAGTTTTGTCTTCAGCAAGTGAAATGCATGCTCAATCGGATTCAGGTCAGATGATTGACTTGGCCATTGCATAACATTCCACTTCTTTCCCTTAAAAAACTCTTTGGTTGCTTTTGCAGTATGCTTTGGGTCATTGTCCATCTGCACTGTGAAGCAGCATCCAATGAGTTGTGAAGCATTTGGCTGAATATGAGCAGATAATATTGCCCGAAACACTTCAGAATTCATCCTGCTGCTTTTGTCAGCAGTCACATCATCAATAAGTACAAGAGAGAACCAGTTCCATTGGCAGCCATACATGCCCACGCCATGACACTACCACCACCATGCTTCACTGATGAGGTGGTATGCTTAGGATCATGAGCAGTTCCTTTCCTTCTCCATACTCTTCTCTTCCCATCACTCTGGTACAAGTTGATCTTGGTCTCATCTGTCCATAGGATGTTGTTCCAGAACTGTGAAGGCTTTTTTAGATGTGGTTTGGCAAACTTTAATCTGGCCTTCTTGTTTTTGAGGCTCACCAATGGTTTACATCTTGTGGTGAACCCTCTGTATTCACTCTGGTGAAGTCTTCTCTTGATTGTTGACTTTGACACACATACACCTACCTCCTGGAGAGTGTTCTTGATCTGGCCAACTGTTGTGAAGGGTGTTTTCTTCACCAGGGAAAGAATTCTTCGGTCATCCTCCACAGTTGTTTTCCGTGGTCTTCCGGGTCTTTTGGTGTTGCTGAGCTCACCGGTGTGTTCCTTCTTTTTAAGAATGTTCCAAACAGTTGTTTTTGGCCACGCCTAATGTTTTTTCTATCTCTCTGATGGGTTTGTCTTGTGTTTTCACCCTAATGATGGCTTGCTTCACTGATAGTGACAGCTCTTTGGATCTCATCTTGAGAGTTGACAGCAACAGATTCCAAATGCAAATAGCACACTTGAAATGAACTCTGGACCTTTTATCTGCTCATTGTAAATGGGATAATGAGGGAATAACACACACCTGGCCATGGAACAGCTGAGAAGCCAATTGTCCCATTACTTTTGGTCCCTTAACAAGTAGGAGGCACATATGCAAACTGTTGTAATTCCTACAACGTTCACCTGATTTGGATGTAAATACCCTCACATTAAAGCTGACAGTCTGCAGTTAAAGCACATCTTGTTCTTTTCATTTCAAATCCATTGTGGCGGTGTATAGAGCCAAAAAAGTTAGAATTGTGTCGATGTCCCAATATTTATGGACCTGACTGTAGAGCAGATAATGCAGACTAATCCCCTACTGCCAACTGGAAGACTGTGTGCTATGAATGCTCTATACTGATTGGCTGGCTATGTGTTGTAAATTCTCCAGACTGATTGGTTGGCAGCAGGGGCGGACTGACCATTTGTAAACTGGCCCGGGGTCAGTAGGGGGCCCCATGAGATGCCCCTGGTACCTTTTTCATAGGCTTCTTTGAGTTTGGGCAAGGACACAGGGGCCCCATGATCCCTTATTGCCCAGGGGCCCCATGAATTGTCAGTCCGCCCCTGGTTGGCAGTGTGCTGTGACTCCCCCGCTGAACTGTGTGCTCAAGAGTTACCTCTGAAACTGTATTTTAGGTTTTCACAAATGTACACCTCCTAACTTTCTGAGATGGGAATGAGGGACACCTATTAGCAAAAGTATATAGTATAGTATATATAGTATAGTACACACCTCTGCCATTCCCCCCCCCTTTAAAGGAGAAGTATACAAAAACATGATTGGTTAAACATACAAGTGATTTTTTTTTTACCACTTTTATTTCTTTGTATTGGCTTACAAATGCAGCAATTTTAAAATTGGATGAAAGGTTTAGCACTGTAAACACCTTTTGATAGATAAATATTGCATTTTATATACAACTATATAGAACAGACCAAAATGAGGGACAAATGAGGAGGAAAAGGGGACTTTGTTTTAAATAAGAGAGAGTCCCTCAAAATCAGAAACAGTTGGGAGCGATGCAAATAACATAACTGATTGGTGCCGCACCAAAGCTGCAGTATCAGTCTCCTAGGTTTACACTCTGTGTTCAGGGGCTGGCAGAGGCAAAGCACATCTCTCTCCAAGATGCACACAACTTCATTGTGAAGTAAATGAAAGACAGGCTTCAGCTCAAATCCCCGCCCACTGGTCATGCCCCTGTGGCATGTTTCACACACATTGGGCTTGTTTGTAGAGGTAAGCATGCTCTGTGCCAAAGAGATTATATGCACACACAGATCACAAGCCAGGTGAAACGCAATGATTATAAACAGTGCACATTAGATGATTAGATTAGGTTCAACTTTATTGTCATTGTGCAAAGTACATGTACAGAGCCAATGAAATGCAGTTAGCATCCAGCAGAAGTGCATAAATGACTCATTTACAATAAAAAACAGTATAACAAAAATAGGGGTATGGGATATACAGTAATACCATAATCGGTGCAATGAGTAGTGCATTAATAGATGAAATATTCAGTAATGCAATGGTGAATAAAATATACAGTAATGCAATATTGTCTAATGATTAGCTGTTCAAAGCTTTAACAGCCACAGGAAAAAAAAACTATTTTTCAGTCTATTTGTACGGGCTCTGAGACACCTGTATCGTATTCCCAATGGAAAGAGTATGAACAGTCCATGGTTAGGGTGAGAGGCATCATTAATGATGCCCCTTTCCCTTTGTACAGGGCGTTTTTTTGTAAATGTCCTCCAAGGTGGAAAGTTGAACACCAATACTTCGTTGGGTGGTTTTCACCACCCTCTGAAGGGTTTTGCAGTCTGAAGCAGTGCAGCTGCTGTACCAAACTAAGATGCAATTTGTGAGAATGTTCTCAATAGTACAACGATAAAAATTCTCCAATATCCTGTAGCACAGACAGGATTTTGTAAGTTTCCTCAGAAAATATAGGCGCTGTTGTGCCTTCCTAATCAGGAAGGAAGAATTCAGAGACCAGGTGAGATCCTCAGAAATGTGGATTCCAAGAAACCTAAAGCTGTTAACACGCTCAACAACAGCTCCATTGATGTAAATGGGAGCATGGGTGTGATTACCAGCTCCTCTGAAATCCACAATAATCTCCTTAGTCTTCTTGGTGTTAAATTCCAAATTATTGTCCTCACACCATGTGACTAGGTGTCAGATCTCCCCCCTGTAACCCTTCTCATCTTTACCACTGATCAGGCCTACCACCAGGGGAGACTGACCATTTGGAAACTCGGGCACTGCACGAGGGCCCGGGGTCAGTAGGGGGCTCCATGAGATGCCCCTGGTACCTTTTTTCATAAGCTTTTTTGAGTTTGGGCAAGGACACAGGGGCCCCATGATCCCCTATTGCCTGGGGGGCCCATGAGTTGTCAGTCCGCCCCTGCCTACCACATGGTGTTGTCGGCAAACTTAACAATGCTGTTTGATGCATAGACAGGTACGCAGTCACAGGTGAAAAGAGAGTATAAAAGAGGGGACAATACACATCCTTGAGGAACCCCAGTGCTGATGTTAAGACTGGAAGAGGTGAAGGCGTTGAGTCATACAGACTGTGGTCTGTTTGTATGAAGTCCAGGATCCAATTACAAAGATGCATGCTGATGCCAAGCTGTTTCAGCTTCAAGATTAGCTTTGAAGGACTAGCTGTATTAAAAGCTGAGCTGAAATCAACAAACAACATCCTTACATGAATGTCAGGATTGTCCAGGGGAGTCAGAGCAGAATGAAGTACTGTAGAAATGGCATCCTCAGTTGACCTATTCGGCTGATAAGCAAATTGGTATGGATCCAGACTAAGTAGCAGACAGGCTTTAAGATGGATAAGGACCAATCTTTCAAAGCACTTTGCGATGACAGGAGTGAGTGCAACAGGATGAAAATCACCCAAATCTGTTGCAGTGGAATGCTTTAGCACTGGCACGATGGTAGCAGACTGAAAGCTAGTGGGTACAATTGACTG